CGGCGGGGCGAGGGCCGGCCGCCGCCGCCAGGCCCCTCGGAGCAGGCGGAAGTCGGAGGCCCCGAGCCCGGCCCCGGCCCCGGCCCAGCGCGTCGCCTCAGCCCGCCCCCGCCCGGCCCGGGCGCTGTGAGTCACCGCGTGACGCACTGTGAGCTCTGCTCCTCTCGTGCCCCCCAGCTTGGCGGGGTCGCAGCCTGCGGCCTTCTTGCGGGCCCCGGCCCAGGCCCGGGCCCGGGCCGCGCAGCGAGCGAGAGGCCGGTCCCCAGCACCTTGCATGTGTTGTGCGATCCGCGCGGCGTAAACTTGGCCGGCTACAGGTGTCAAGTAATCGCCCTCCCCCCATAAGCGGCTGCCTCGCTGTGGAAAGAACCAACCTGCTAGAAAGTTAGTGCTTGAAAAGGGAACAGCTGTATAGATGGTTTCTAGCCAGCTTTAATTTAATGCAATCGAGCCCTTCCTTGAGGATGTCTCTATTTTGTGCATCCCACGGGAGCCCTTGTACCTGGGTGTGGGTGGAAGCAGGGGGCAGCCGTGGCCGGGGCGCAGGAGATTGGGTTGGCAGCACCCAGCGTGCTGCAGAGGTGATGCCTTTCCAAGGAGCCTCCTGTTGATCCAGCTGTACTTCTGCTGTCACCGCCAGCTTGTCCCAGCACCCTGCTGAGCTCTGCTGCAACCCAGACACAGCTGCAGAGGGGCTGATCGGGGGCTCCCTGTCTCCTCTTGAATCTTTTCATTAGTTCTTTTCATTCAAGTAAAGCTAAAGTGATGCGTGGGTCCCTGGCTTTGGGCCCTGTTTTCCCAAAACAAATCCCATATGAGCAGCAGCCCTGCTCCCTGTCCTTTACACGCCAAAGTGCCTCAAACAACAAGAAAGGTGATTGCACTCAAAAGCTTGCTAAGAACTTTTTTCCAGCTTCTCAGTTGATCTAAGAAAAGATATCACATCTGCTCAAAGAACCTTGTCAAACAAAAAGGGAGTTTTAGTCTCTAGTCACATATTTGTTGGACTCTCTCTTGAGAATGCCACTGTGGTGGCAGGTTGTTTGCGTTCATACCTATCATAAAGAATTGGTGTGACACCACTGCATAGCCACCAGTAACCTTTAGATTGAACAACTTTCAGTGTCTATTGACTTGGCTGAGTTACAGCTGGTAACTTGGAGGAGAAAGACTTCATATCCTGTTTCCAACCTCAGAGCTATCCAGTCCTCCAGGTTTCCCTGTTGTGAGGTGTATGCTTTTTTAGGATGCCTTAATTTGAAGATCTACCAATTGCTTTTGAGGTGGAACCCACTGCTGATACAGTTTTATCCAGGATGACTAATATTCTGTGAGAAGTGCTACTGTGATGTAAACTGTTTCTATTACTTACTGTTGGGAACAATTTTTTAATATGGCAATTTTCTTGTAATAAATATGCGGAGACCTCTAAAGCAGAAGAAGATACACAACAGAATTAAATTGGGTTTAACAGACTGGTCCTATCTTTCAGGGATTCATGCAACTATTTGGTTTTTGTTATTTTTTTTTACAATCAACAGATACCCAAGTTTTAATTGAATTTTGGCTTTAATGATGCTCAATAAGTCTCACACAAACGTAAGTGAATACAGTGTTGTTGAAAAATTTTCTCACTTTACCAGAAATGTCACAGTATTTCAGTGGAAACCTGTAAATTGGACTTAGTTTGCTGAAAACAGAACCAGTAGTCACTGGAAAAGCTGTGAATGTTGAAACAAGTCTGGGCTGAATTTTAAGTAGTTAACAAAATCTGAAATTAAGTGAGCTTCTTGTGGGTTCCAGGTACCTTGTGAGCCTTTCATTCACCACTGCTGCACACATTTCCCTGTTGTAATCCACACGTATACAAGACTGTTCCTACTTCTTCAGAAATATGCCTTGGAGAAAGAGATTGAGGGAAATAATGTTCTGCCCTAAGATGATGATGTCCACTAGAATCTAACTAGAGTCAAGTGTCAGAATTTTTGAGCCACTGGATAAATTGGAAAATGTACGCTACTCAGAACAATTCACATAATGAAGAGTATGTTAGTGGCTTCTCCTATTTTGTGCATTTGCTGTTTGTTTGATAGAATCTATTAGGAGCATATAAAAGCAGGGATTTGGAATGGTTGGTTATACTCAGGTTATGCTAGATTGGGGGATGTATATCATAATATTCATTTTACGGGCCTGGATTTTTAACTTTTATTTCTCCAGGGAAACAGGTTCACTGTGGCCAGACCAGGAAAATGTCACTGAGGGGTGGTACTGGTCACCCATCTAAGAATTTCAGTCTTTCAAAAATATTTTCAGGGACATTGAAGTTTTGAGAGGAACTATGGAATAGATTTTCCTGTAGGTGCTACTGGTTTAAGTGAAAGGATGTGCCCAGAACTGAAATGGAAACATCAAAGGGTCATAATTAGGTGAATTTGGGGGAAGGTTCTGATTAAAACCAGAACTCAAACCTTTCTGTACTGTCTTTAATTTCCTCTTTCCCATTCTCTTTTTCTGTTGCCCATCCCCTACCATGTGTTTCCTCCATCTCC